ATACCAGGAATACCAGGACCTTCCGGACAGTCAGTGTGGTTATTCCATGCTAGTGATAATATTTTGGATGTTTTCACAAGCCTTTCAAAAATCCTTATTATCGTATAAGGTTTTTGAGAATTTACTGAATTGTGATATAGAGATATCGAGAAAGAGAAGATGTCACAGCATCTAGGCACTTTTAACTGTTAATTCCATTGTTAGCTTAAAAAAATAAGAATTTTAGCAAGTTATTGATTAACATGGATTTTTTTCAAGAAGCAACAAAAAGTATAAAAATCGAAAAATTTTGTTATTGGTCAAAAAATTATTGAAATTTTTGGCATAACGCTACACCGAAATGGCAAAGACAGCTGTTTTAGACCACATTTTGTAAAAAAAAATCGATTTTCGAAAATATGTCCTCTGTTATTCAGAGGAAAAAATCGCTATAAATTTCAAAAAAAAAAAGTTGAGCCAAAAGCCCCTCCCCATTTGTTCTTTACGAGAGAGACGGAAGCACACTGGTGTACTCCGATTGGTAACATATACCAGAAAAATAGAAAAAAAAAACATTTTTTTGAGGTAAAATGTGTTGTTTTTGGCATATTATGCGTGAACGGTGTTAAAAAGTATTATTTTCTTCGGTTTAAGTGATATTTTCATGCTTTTTTTTAAAAAAAAAAAAACTCATTTATCCTTCTTTTGAATGTTTGTTGAGTTATTTTAAAACATTCTTCCACGTATGGTGTTCGTTATGCTATTTTTAAACAGTTTTCGTTTCAGTGTTTTTGGTGTTTTGGCGGCATTTTTGCAGACTTTTCACTCTAAAGCAGAGGGAAAGCGAACAGAATTTTTTGGAGGGGTGACGTTCGTTTTTGCAGGATCTCCTTGGGATGAAAAAGAGTCACCACGGCATACTTGGATTCTTTTAATCCGTGTCCAAATCTTTTTAGCATTAAACGCTTTCGTGGAGGAAGCACTTTGATCTATTCTTGCTGCGCAGCAGGTGCACAAAACGCATATTGTCATGACCTTGTGTGTTTGTGTGTACGAGTACATCTTATCAGGGGTTTCTTTCAGTTTGAGAGCCAAAAAAGCTAGGAAGCTGAAATTTTAGGAAAATGTTCGCTGCGTCCGCATATGACTGCGCAAATTTGAATTTAAATGTCATGTATACCTAGGTCTCGTGCATGGCTACATAGATGTTTTGGCGCCGAAACGACTAACTAGGGAAGCACAAAAGCTAAGAAGCTGAAATTTCGAAGGAAATGTGTTTTTTGATTGTAGTGCAACTAGAAAAAGGTTGGGACATCCCTCATAAAGTCTTAAGCGCCATCGCTGACATTTGTTCCAGGCCTATTCATTTCGCATTTTAACAGTGTGCCCTTTTCCTCCCCGTTCCCCTCTCCTTGGTTTTTACCGACAAAACGGGATGCAGTTAGCTTATTTTGTTTAAATTTAGACAAACGAAATGCGGCATTTTTGCATATCATCGTGATATATGAAGGAATTTGATGTCTTTTTTCTTCTCAGATGCCATCGTAAAGTTCGATGGTAAATGAGTGGAATTTGATGGGATTTTTGCGTTAAACTGTTCTGCCTGCTTGTTTTTTTTCGAAAAAATTTTGTTGAGGTTTGGGATTTCTAACAGAAAATGATTGTTTTTTAATGATAAAGTTATCTTTTGCTCGAAGGTCGTTAACAAGTTTTTTTAAAAATACCCCGCAAAGTGGCAGGGTTGACAGCGATGTCCCAAGCTTATCTTAGCATCGCTCAGTCCCGTAAAATGGGGCCACTTTGCAAATGAGTAGTAGTACTGGGGTCGAAGAGGTCCGAGCAAAAATTCTCATTTTGAAATGAAAGGCAGCCACCCTCATTATTTTAAGGATTGGAATCTTCCGATATTATAGTACAGAAGGAGATTTGACCTCTCATTCTCATTTACCTCATTTCCGGATCCTTCGAATCGTGACATGTTACTTAGCAGTGCAACACTGGTTACTGTGATCCTGTACACCCAGGGTAAATGTGGCAGCTTATTTTTCGGGTTTCCGCGAGAAAAAGACGGATATAGTTTCTGATTAGGAGAGATATGAGCAAAAAAGCACAACATTGAAGGCAGAGTGTCCTATAAAATTCGCAATTCTGTACAGAATTATAAAAGTAAGCCTAACATCCGGATGTCTAATAAGCCTAACATCCGGACCTCTAAACTAGCTTTTTATCGAGCTGCAAAATCCAAGAATGAGGCAGTGTTGCGGTTATAGAAGATTAATCGAAATGAAAAGCCTAAATTATTTTTAAGTTCCACTACAGCAACTGGCAACTACTCCATTCTTCTCTGTTTTGAGCTTTTCTCATCTACAGAATTCCAGGTTGCTGTTCAAGTGGACTTTTCCTCCGCACTGTGGTGGCCTTCCTTGTGTTCTTTTAACAATTTGAAATCCAAATTTTCAACGGATGCTGTAATTTGAGGGAAAAGTGTGGACGAAATTGTTTTGTCCTTAATGATTTTGCGTTGGGTTCAGAACTTACACTGTCTAAATTCAGCGAATTTTATGAATTTTATCAGTTCTGTTGTATGGAAGCGAAACATGGAATACCACTCTCGAGCGAAGGCAAAAAAGAAAAGATTGAAAAAAGTAACGAATCATCTCCAGTAATGCATCGCAGTTCCGGCCTGATGTAAGTGATATATTATCAAAGCAGTATACGCCAGGAAGAAGAGCTAAAACTAACGATATGGCAGAAATGACAGACGACAAAGCAGATTACTGCTGAGTGGTACCCACCATGCGATATTAAAAGAACACAGGAAAGGCCACCACAACCGTGGAAAAACTCCACTTGAACAGTTACGTGGAATTTTGTAGATAAGAGAAGCTCAAAATAGAGAAGAATGGAGAAGTTACCAGCTGCATCATTGGCCACGAGTCGCAACGCAACAATGAAATGTGAAAATCTGACCAAACTACGCGGATGAATTCACAATTCGCTTGAGACATTCTGGTGTCATAGCGCAACCAGTGGTCGCCAAAATTGTAAATTCAAATTTTGGTGGCGGGAAGGCGGTTGATTGATGCCCATGTGACCTATGGTCTCCGCGACTAATTTGTGCCTCGCCTGGCTGTTATAGAAATTTTAAAGATACAAACAA